TGTAATATATTACTTTACAATTAAAAAAATGTAAATTTAAAAAATATATTAAAAATATATACAGGCATTAATTGAAATTTTTTGAGTGCGAACAAACACGAGAGGCGCTTTATTATTTACTTTCATTTCTTAACATGACAGATGAAGTTCTAAAGGGGGATGTTTTGTGCACTAAGCACTCATAACGTTCACGCTCAAGATCGCGATTTTTCCCGTTCCACTTGCTTGCGAGCGTTACAATAATAAACTCAAGTGGAATGGGTTATGGGGCGTTTTAAGCGTCAATCCTGTCAATGTATGTAAATAAATAGTAAATAATAGTCAAAATCACAGAAGAGAATTCAAAAAATCTGTCTAAAAAAAAGAAATCAAAATGTCTTTGGCGACAGTTGGATATTTGGTGCATCGGAATGTGTCTGAAACTTCTTCATCTAGTTCAGACGACTAGTGGAATGCAATTTTACAAAATCGCGATGTAAAAAACGAACACTTAGGCCACGTATTATTGGCTATGAGAATCTATGAAAATTTTTTATCCTAAGTCGATAATCTTTTGTCTAAGTTTTAAAAATTGCGCCAAAATTCCTCAACGTCCACCTCGATCCTAATATTCAGATGGGTCGTTGTGAGCTCGGCGTGAGCGAAAATAATGACGTCATTAGTGACGTTTACGCCGCGACCACAACGTCCGCGATGTATCGTCATGTGGAACGACCAGGGTTCGGAAGTAGTTAATTAAGACGTAATTTACCTGATTGACTACGTGTAGTTTTTCTTCAAAAACTACGTCTTTTTCCCGTTTATTAACTACATAGAAAACTACGTTAATAAACTATGTATTGATATTATGAATAATTTTGCTTTGTATGAGTGGTCTAAATAATATGATGTGTGAATATTATATTTAAAAGTCATATTTCTTTCTGTTTTCTTAAATACATTGTATTTTCTAAAGCTTCAACTTATTATAACCTCACCTCAAACCTTTGATATTTGAAAGTTACATACATAGGTTACATAAACTACACCCTCTACATAAACTACATTAACTACATGTAATGTAGTTTATGTAGTTTAAAGTAACATGTAACGTTTCCGATCGTCATGTGGAACGACCGAAGGCATATTTTGAGCATTATGAGCGCTTAGTGGAACGCACTCATTTAAAATACGCAACCAACCGTCCAATCAGATGAAAGAGGTACGTACCCTATCGTTGGGTATTGTGCAATCACGTGATGCTCATGTCGTATGACGGTTAAATCTTTGGTTAGAATTTTTGTGGTTAGAATTTTTGTTGTTGTTTTTACCTGTTTTTAGAGTTTTTACTTTATTTTTCTATTTACATCAGATTTATATTTTGTAATTGCCTATCAGACAATACGTATTTAGAAAAATAATAAGAATTAGGATCGTGTTTTTTTTTAAATCCTGTATATTAATTGGAACCCTTGATAACATTACTGCTTTTGATATAAAAAGTGCATTTTTGATTATTTACTTGGGCTAGGATATTAAAATATCGGTTGGATTGTACGACATAAATAGATGTAGGTATGATTATTTATATATATGTATGTATTTATAAAGCTTACTATCTGATTTGCATTTTCAGTTTTTGATCAGATATTTCATTTTATTTGTGAAATGCCCACAAAAAAGCTTCCAATGATTCAACATCAGTGTGTTTGCTGCATAATGGATCATTCCTGCTGAATTTTTAGATCATTTGAAGACTACACGGAAAAAACCAGATAATATGTTACATTTTCATAGAAATTGATAGCGAGACAATTTTATAGGCAAGTGCATTATTCGAGGCACCATCAAAGAAAGCAATAATAATATGCTTAGTCCCAGAGATATTACAGCTTAGTTATTTTGCCCTACAGGAGAAAAACCAGAGTAGTTCACTCGTAATTGCATTTTCTCGGCTCCAGTTAAAATGAACAAAGCTGGTTTTTCCTGTGGTCTTCATTTGAAATAACGTAAATAAATGTTTATACATATGTATGTGATGATTAAATTGGTGTTAAGGAAATAAAAATGTCTTTCGATATTAATATATATTTTTCGATATTAATATATACCTAGGTATAGGTATATGTATATTTATTTTGAAATAAATTACACTTTTAACAGTTTAATGGAGTTTTTAAAGCCAGTTATAATATTTATATTTTAAAAACTTGAAATCATAATGTGGATGTAATCACGCATTAAACCACAGACTAACTTATATAAGTCAAAAAGTAGATTTTAGTGTTAACTTTATATAACTTGTAAGTAAAATAATATATAAAACAAATATGAAAAAACCAACAATTCTAATGTATATATTAAAATACAGTACAATAATAGGTATCTGATATCCTCACTTAACGTAGAATAATATTCTACCCAACTCAATACTATGTCCAACATGAGTTTCAAATATATCGGGCCCTAATCGTTCCTGAAAATAGTATTTTTTTACATTGTTATACCATATTCTAAACTATTTAATATTTCAGTCACTTAAAAAGTTAATTTGTATTGAATAATTGCCTACCATTAAAGCAAATTTGGACTAGTATTCTTAATGGGCATATTCTGTGTATGGATATAGGTACTTCCTCCAGATTTTGGGTTCAACCAATTTATTCTTAAAACCTGAAACATCTACATATAAAAAATAGACAGGTTACTAATTATAATAAAATTTACCCTTAGAATTATACTTCTTTAACAAATAATTTCCATTGGTATACTTTTCCATGACAAGTAATCAACTTCCTAACATTTTTTAATTGATGTAATACTTCCTCACGATGCGAAAAGAAAATCTTTTCTTTAGCACACAAAGGACAAACGATATGTTGGCTTACTTTCAGATTAGTTACTTTTCCATAGATATCCTCATGTCAATTCAAAGACGATGAACATGAAAATGATCATCACATGAAACATCACAAACTAAAAACCTAATAAACAAGTTTATATCGAATATAGAATAAATTTAGTGTTCTTACCTATTGTCGTCCAAATCCACGTTAATAGATAATTAACTTTTGGATTTTTTATCTTTTATTTTTAAATATATCTTTCGAACTACTGGTTTTAGTAATTATTAAATTAAACGAACTAAAAAGTCAAAAATAATAAATAATAAACAATTAATTCTCATTGAGATAATAATAAATTTTAACTAGATAACAACACAAACGAAAAAAAAACAAAACAAACAGATGTCAATTAAAGAGGGGAAGTGACAGCGAGACCTGGAAGATGTCTGCCATCTTGCCGTCGACAAAAATTTGGATGCGCACTCGTCGAAGCTCATTCTCCCACTTCCATATCTCTGACAAAAGCCTACTGCTGGTCGGCATCAGTGACAATAATGTGTAGCTGTAGCTGAATAATATCGCGGTGTATATCGGGTTGCATAATTGTAAAATTTAAATAAAATAATATTTAACAATAAAATTATAGTAAACATGACACTCTTTGCGAGGAAATGTGACTGTTACATGTGATATTCGTTTTTTAATTTCTTTGTCATCTTTAGCTGTTGTCAAATATCACTCCTAGATAGGTGTATTCATTGTAGGCTTCTATCTCTTCATTTTCTAGATGTACGCTAGATAGATCTACACCAATAGGTAGATATTTCGTTTTCCCTGTGTTTATTTCCAAACCCCATCGTTAATATTCCTCTTGTATTTTTCTTGTCATGTACTCCAAATCATCTTTATCGTTGGCCATAAAAACTTGATCATCTGCGAACTGCAGGGTATATAGGCAGGTGTCTCCCAGATTAATGCCCATTCCATTACATTTTCTCTTCCATTGTCTCAAAGCCTTTGCTACATATATTTTAAATAATGTGGGAGAAATAGAGCATCCGTGTCGTAGACCTTTATTGACAAAGAATTTTCCAGATAATGTGTTGCCTATTTTGATTTGTGATGTCGATTCTTCGTACAAGTTTTTCAGAGCTCTAATTAAGGTGTAGTTAATGTTGGTGTCCTGTAGTACCTTGAATAGTCTGCTAACTGGAACGGTATCATATGCTTTGCGAAGGTCAATAAACATGAGGTGTGTCTCCTGATCAATACTACTTTTTTTTCTCTATTAGTTGTTTCAGACAGAAAATATTGTCGGTACAGGTTCTCCCAGTCCGAAAACCAGATTGTTCCTCCTCTTCTGGTTGTTGGTATTCCTGTTCTATTAAATCTCTAAGGATCAGTCCGTGTAATCGACTTAGGGTACTTGTTACTGATATGCCTCTATAGTTGGAGCACACTTGTTTATTTCCCTTTTTGTGGATTGAGGATATATAGGCGATTTTCCACTCTTTTGGTATTGGGGCGTTGTTTAAGAATCTATTTATACACCAGGTTAAGGCTTTAAATAGTTTTTCTGTTCCACATCTTAACAATTGCAGTGCTGCCACGGCCTTTTTCGTTTGCGGTATATCGATGTTAATAACTTCTCCGGAAATATTTATCTAGCATAGCATTAATATAATATAGCATTCTGATTGGTCCTGGTCCGGTCGTAGCTCACGTCGTATTGGTCGTATTTTTGGTAAGCAAAATCCCTGTCCAAAAATTTTGACGATCAGCGCCATCATCCGTCATAATTGGGAAACTTTTGCTGGAACCATTTTTAATATTTCACTTACATGGCCCTGACTACGACTGACTACGACACTGGTTAATTTCTGTTGCTGGCACCCATAATGGCGGCGTGCGCAAGGATATGCGCGTAGCGTTCCCGCCAAGGCGAGTTGGCCTGCCGTGTGATTTATATGCCGTGGTATAGGTCTATCGAAAAATTGTAGGACACTTTTTTTAGAACGTTCAATTCTGTACAAGAATGTGATTTTCATAAAATTTAGAAAGCGTCGTGAGAGAAATGATAAACTTTGTAAATAACGGACACCTCAGTGTATATTACGAAAAAAAAAATAAAATAAAACATTAATTAAAGCACCAAACTTAATTGGTTTATTCCAGATTGTATGGCATCCAACAACATGCGACAAAGAGGGTCAATATTGGATCAGTCCACAATACACATCCAAGGCTACTTGCGTAAAAACTTTTTTTAATAGATTAAAAGTGAAAGAACAACACTGCAATGTAGACGAGATTATTAATACTAAAACAAAGGAGTGCGAAAGACTACCAGGAGGGGGATATGCAATATGCTATATTACAGACAGAAACTGTCCAGGTTTGTAACCAGCAAAAAATACAGGGTGTTTCAAAAAGATGTGCCATCTCTCGTAAAAAAGTTTCGTGAGATTCATCATAGACGTGCATATGGGTTATCACTGGAAAATTTTTCTAAAAAAAGCACGTGCGCCACTGACTTTTTTCTCTTCTTAGCAAAATTGTGTAGGCCTTTTAATGCCAATTAAAAGTTGTATCTTGATATTTTGTCGATTTCGATCTCCTTGATGAGATAAACGCAATTTTATTAACCCCAATTAATAAAATTATAATAGAAATACTTAAATTTAATAAATTATTTATTTTATCTAATTTATTATTACCAAACATCGATATTCAGTGCTACCTAGAGCACATTCAAAAAAAAAATCATGTTATTTAAGATAACTACAAAAGGCTTAATTGTTTAAAAGTTTTAACATCCCCTAACTTTAAAATTATGCATTTTCGCAACTGTTTTTCATATTTTTTAGTGGGAATCAATCAGTACTGATTTAATACATTCTTCAGTTAAAGACATTAAATTTTTTTAAAGGTTTATTTGTTTGATATAATACCCACGACGTTCTCATTATTAATGTATTATTATCAATGTGTCGACAGATTAATATCAATAATATATCAATAATATATTGATATATCATTGATACTAATCTGTCGACACTTTTATGCATTAAAATATGTAGCACTTATAGTAATTATTACCCTCAAAATTTCATTCGAATCGCTAAAAGCACTTAAATTAGAAAATTATTATATATCGGAAAAAAATAAGACTTTGACACTCTGTAGCTACGAAACAAAGCAGAATCAGATCTATGTTTATATAAATAATAAATCTTATTTTTACGTGTGGAATCTTTCCACGAGTGATGAACCATGTTTTTTGAAACACCCTGTAGAAAAAGAAAAATATAGAAAGCCACTAACATCAAAAATAATCAAAATGCGTTAGTTAATAAATAGTATTTGTTGAAGGTAACAACAGAACGACCGCGCCACATCCCAATAAGGACTTTTACAAAAGTTACTTGGTGTGTATGCCTCAAGGTGGCGTAGTCATAGCCGATTGCCATCCACAAGAACACTACAACGAAGAACTAGGCGTATGCGAGTTGAACTCTGTAACAGAAACTGTCATAATATCCTCAATGTGCGAAGAAGCGAACATTATAAAATGCGTCAGGCCAGAGGTTAAACCCGTGTCATCTTATTTTAAGACATACGAGGGTAAAATCGACAAAAACGCATGCAACAATTGCTACTATATTTGTGGATCTAAAAGCAAAACCACTTACGAATTAACCATACATTGCATTCATGACGGCGTTCCAGAGAGCAACGAGGACGAAACAAGTACTAATGAAGACTTTGATGCCAATTGGGATCATTATACAATAGAAATACACGATAATTCATCAAACAATTATCAGGAAATGACACACACTACGCAGACATATAACGGCTCAACATGGAGTGAAAACGATAACCCTTATCCAACTCTAATAACCAAGCCTGGCGGTTGGCCAGGCATTACCTCTGAAACAACTGAAAAAGAGCGCGTTAGTACAACGCCAACAAGCGGGCATTCAAGTGTATCCCCAGTAACAATTAAAACAACAACTGAAGAAGAAGGCACTAGTACAACGACAGCAAGCGGTCATTCAAGCATATCACCAGTAACAATTAGAACAACTGAAGAAGAAGGCACTAGTACGACGCCAGCAAGCGGGCATTCAAGCGTATCACCACTAACAATTAGAACAACTGAAGAAGAAGGCACTAGTACAACGCCAGCAAGCGGGCATTCAAGCATATCACCAGTAACAATTAGAACAACTGAAGAAGAAGGCACTAGTACGACACCAGCAAGCGGGCATTCAAGCGTATCACCAGTAACAATTAGAACAACTCAAGAAGAAGGCACTAGTACAACGCCAGCAAGCGGGCATTCAAGCATATCACCAGTAACAATTAGAACAACTGAAGAAGAAGGCACTAGTACGACGCCAGCAGGCGGGCATTCAAGCATATCACCAGTAACAATTAGAACAACTGAAGAAGAAGGCGCTAGTAAGACGCCAGCAAGCGGGCATTCAAGCATATCACAAGTAACAATTAGAACAACTGAAGAAGAAGGCATTAGTACGACGCCAGCAAGCGGGCATTCAAGCGTATCACCAGTAACAATTAGAACGACAACTCAAGAAGAAGGCACTAGTACAACGCCAGCAAGCGGGCATTCAAGTGTATCCCCAGTAACAATTAAAACGACAACTGAAGAAGAAGGCACTAGTACAACGACAGCAAGCGGTCATTCAAGCATATCACCAGTAACAATTAGAACAACTGAAGAAGAAGGCACTAGTACGACGCCAGCAAGCGGGCATTCAAGCTATTATCACCAAACAAATAATTAAAACAACTGGAAGAAGAAGGCATCTAATTACGACGCCAACAGAAAGACACTCAAACATATCACCAGTAACAATTAGAACAACTGAAGAAGAAGGCACTAGTACGACGCCAGCAAGCGGGCATTCAAGCGTATCACCAGTAACAATTAGAACAACTGAAGAAGAAGGCACTAGTACAACGCCAGCAAGCGGGCATTCAAGCATATCACCAGTAACAATTAGAACAACTGAAGAAGAAGGCACTAGTACGACGCCAGCAAGCGGGCATTCAAGCGTATCACCAGTAACAATTAGAACTCAAGAAGAAGGCATTAGTACAACGCCAGCAAGCGGGCATTCAAGCATATCACCAGTAACAATTAGAACAACTGAAGAAGAAGGCACTAGTACGACGCCAGCAAGCGGGCATTCAAGCATATCACCAGTAACAATTAGAACAACTGAAGAAGAAGGCGCTAGTAAGACGCCAGCAAGCGGGCATTCAAGCATATCACCAGTAACAATTAGAACAACTGAAGAAGAATGCATTAGTACGACGCCAGCAAGCGGGCATTCAAGCGTATCACCAGTAACAATTAGAACGACAACTCAAGAAGAAGGCACTAGTACAACGCCAGCAAGCGGGCATTCAAGCATATCACCAGTAACAATTAGAACAACTCAAGAAGAAGGCACTAGTACAACGCCAGCAAGCGGACATTCAAGCATATCACCAGTAACAATTAGAACAACTGAAGAAGAAGGCACTAGTACAACGCCAGCAAGCGGACATTCAAGCATATCACCAGTAACAATTAGAACGGCAACTCAAGAAGAAGGCACTAGTACGACGCCAGCAAGCGGGCATTCAAGCGTATCACCAGTAACAATTAGAACAACTGAAGAAGAAGGCACTAGTACGACGCCAGCAAGCGGGCATTCAAGCGTATCACCAGTAACAATTAGAACGGCAACTCAAGAAGAAGGCACTAGTACGACGCCAGCAAGCGGGCATTCAAGCGTATCACCAGTAACAATTAGAACAACTCAAGAAGAAGGCACTAGTACGACGCCAGCAAGCGGGCATTCAAGCATATCACCAATAACAATTAGAACAACTCAAGAAGAAAGCACTAGTACGACGCCAGCAAGCGGGCATTCAAGCGTATCACCAGTAACAATTAGAACGACAACTCAAGAAGAAGGCACTAGTACGACGCCAGCAAGCGGGCATTCAAGCGTATCACCGGTAACAATTAGTACAAAGCAATACGTAACTGAACCTCGATATATGTGTCGTTACAACAAAGAAATAAATTAGATTATATTTGTCCCTGTCGCTACCTTAAAAATTCAGTGGAATCGAAATCATACGATTTTGATGAGTTTCGACGAAGTTTGTAACCGCTGTTAAAAAATTTTCAACATCACCTTATTGTTTCTTATTTCTCTCGCAAATCAGGCGGTCCATCGTTTCACATCCTAGGAATGTCCATTTTATAAAAAAATATCGATATATCTACAATATGTCCCCGGATTGTCTTTACAAGATGAAAAACTTTTTTATTATTGATATTTTGAGAAAAATTCTTCATAAACATTTTTGCTTGTTCTAAAATGGTTAATTTCGTTTATATTTTTTCAAATTTCCATATCGTTTTAGAGAAAATTAGAAAAAAAACATGAAAATATAGGTATTTGATTTTTTTCCGAAAAATCAAAACGCGTTTCCTTGGTTCCTTTGATAGATTGTTGTTGATAGAGAATTTTAATTAACCTAATATATTTTGCTGTTTTAAAATGTTAAAGAAGCACAAAATTTATTTACTTTAATGTTACGGAAAGAGTGATAGAAGTTATCAAAAAATCTGTCTGATAACTACTATTTTCTGAGAAAATTATAGAACTTCATCTATCATGTTAAGAAAATGAAAGTCAATAATGAGCGGCTCTCGTGTTTGTTCGCATACTAAAAAATTGGCGCCGCGCCGGGAGACACGTATAGCTATAGTATGGCACGTATAGCCCATACTAAAGTAAAGAGGCACGTATAGCCCATACTAAAATATGTTAATAAAAAGTTGGTAGGCAGTTCTTTTAGTTTCAAAGTAAAGGAATTTTTCCAATTTTGGTCCGCGGTTATTTCCCCTATACGCCACCTGGGGTCGCGTCCGATGGGAGTTTGAAGTTCTCCACACGGATTTTCTCAAAAACGGACTACGGAAACACGGAATATCTCAAAAACTGCGACTTAACTGATTCTGATGTTATTACAAATTTTGTTGCAAATATTATTCCTAATCTTAAATTGAAAACCGCGTTTCGCTAGCTACTGTAATTTTGGAGTTACGATTTTTTAAAATTTTTAACCCCCTCCCATACCCCCATATCAACCCCCCCCCCCACCAAAAAATAATGGCCAGACTCTCAGGTGCCACAGTATTTTTGTGCCAAATTTGGTTAAAATCGGTTTAGCGCTTTTTGAGTTATCGTGTTACAGACGGACAGACAGACAGACAGACACCATGAAAATATTTTGTATTTAGGTCATTTATGACCCAAATAACTCATTTTGAGTGAAATTAAAAAAACTTTAACCTGTTGGTATGGTCAGCTAAAAATTCAATTAATGCCTGTATATATTTTTAATATATTTTATCATCAGTAATATTTATTTACATCTTTTTAATTGTAAAGTAACATAATACATTTAAATGGAATATATTACATAAAAACTAGATGTCAATTACAGGCTTGTTTTCTAACATTTTTTAAATAAAACGAATTATAAAATTTCAATATATGTATATTTGTCGTGGGTATATGAAAAAAGTAAAATATAAAATGGCTAGACGCTTACTTACATTGCTATAAAACTGCCACTTTTAGTTTTGCAATCCAAACGCCCCCATATTTCTTTTTCACAAATAAAAATATCCGACAACACTAAAATCACTGAAACTTCCGCGGCTGACAACGAAAACGGAAAAATATAACAGCACTTTTTGTTTTGTTAGGTTAATTTGAACATAATATCAAAATTACGTTGTACCATTATGTTTTTTATTTTGAAATAATAGAAAATATAATGGAATTGTCTAATTACTAATTATACTTGTGAATTTTGATATTTTAACTATTTCTGACAATAATTACAGAACGATGGGTGGGCAACAAATCTCTAGAATGATGGAGAAATTCACCAGGGCAGAAACAGGCGAAAAAGTTCATAGTAGAACATTCGACAAAATTCATAGCACACCTGATAAGCGAAGATAGAAAGCAAATCAAAGCTGTAGTCTACTAACAGGTCATTTTGTAAGCTGAATAGGCCATCGGGATTAACGGGATTGACGGACCAAGCCATGTGCAATGTGCAGGTTCTGTCAATCTGAAAAAGAAACGACAGAACATATTTGATATGTTAGGCATGGGTCTGGAAAATGTAACCTAAGGGATCAGAAGAGGGCCATAATAGATCGGAAAAGGTTGCAGTAGATTTGGCCGATAACCATCTCAAAGAATCTAATCTGATCTAATACTACTTACTTTACCAATGCTCTAAATTTGAAATGCCTTTCTAATCTAATTAAACTAGGTACTGCTAATTATCAAATAATGGATTTCGGTATTCATAATGTGACACTTAATTTACCAATATGTGGAGATATCCATATCAAAGTTTAATTTCTATCGATATGCATATTATATTGATATTAATGGATATATTAAAATAGAAAACAAATCACTACCGGTTTCCGAGCCCTACTCCATCATCAGGTGAGCTTGGGCAGATCCACAAAATGAGAACCACAGCGTAGAGATAGTTAATTCCGATATGTCGGAAAGTGTCGGTTATATATTAAGTCCCGAACGGTTAGGTTAGGTTAGGTTAGATATTTTGTTTTCTATTTTATAACTTGACTTGCCTGAAAAAAAGTCTTTTACCATCTTTTTACTATCCATAGTTGCGCCTCGGTGGTACGAAAGTACTATCATTGCACGCAGGCCGCTATCTCCCGTTCGGGACTTAATATCTAACGACACTTTCCGACAAGTCAGAATTAACTATCTCTGCGTTGTGGTTCTCATTTTGTGGATCTGCCCAAGCTTACCTGATGATGGAGTAGGGCTCCGAAACCGGTAGTGAGAGTAGGTTGATCCACATTATGACAAACACAGCGTAGAATTAAATTTTTATATCAGCAGATCAGCAGTTAAGTGGCAAGAATCCTTATATAATTTTGTGGATATATTAATATATATCGATATGTTGGTACGTCGCTATTCCTTGAACGTCCCTTTTGCAGCTAGCATGATGTATACTAAATAATTCATTTTTCGAGAGACGATTGCGACGAAACGTCAAATAATGTGAGCGTTGGCAAACAAAGCATTTTCGTACACGTTTACAAAGGAAATTGATATTTTCAGCTTTCTTTTGATGTAGCCGAGGAAGAATCTGGGAAAGCTTTGTGAGCACACGAAGGCGTTTCTTTTGTCAAGGTGGAGCAATTTAAAATAATTATTCGGCTTTATGTCCGTTTCCTTGTACGATTGTTGATGATACATAATAAATTAGACTTTTTTGTGTTTTTGTTTTTTTGCAAACTGGAGAAAAATTTTATTCGCTTTTGATTGGAAGATTTTCGAGATGCGCTCAAAGGTCTTGAAATTTTTATTTTAGATAAAAAAATACGAAATTATTTGAATGAAAGAAGATTTTTCTTCATATCTTTTTAAACAAATATATTTAACTAAATTACATTAACTAAAAAAAGTTTAAAAGACATTTTACGAAAGTAATTATTAAAATTGCTAATAAAAATTTGCCATGTTGATATTAGACTTTTTTTTCTGGTTAATGGCCACTTGCCTTACAGCATTTAACTAGCTTATTATTAATTATTATGAGCTTTTTAGTTATTACTATGAACGTATTATATTATACAGGGCGAGTTATAAATAAGTGCATATATTTTCAGGGCTGGTAGAGCAAAGGTAGTAAGTCCAAGACAACCAAGTTTGAAAAGTAAGAAGAAAGTGATTTATTTAAAAAAAAATTGAGAGCCACCGAATTTTTTTCTGTTTGTATCTCTTTTTACCATAGAGTAAAGCTAAAACCATGGTAATATCAGATATTAAGAAATTATACCGTGGGAAAATTTGCACTGAACAGGCAGTTCTAAAAAGTTTCCTAAAATATACAGGAAAATTAAAAAAATGCACGATTTTTCCAACATCATTTTTTTGCGATAAAAACTTATAGACTTGTTGCTGGGGTTACTATCCCTAAAAATATTTGCACTTATTAAAGACTCACCCTGTCTATAACTAGACTCTGAAAAGATTTTCTATATTTTTAACTATGTGTGAGTTAACTAATATTTTTGAGTAGTCGGCAAGTAGCAATTCGTCCTGGTAATAATCCTGGTTTTCCAAAATAAATCCTGGGTTTCTCTTTTAAAAAATAAAGAATAATAAATGCATTTTTGAATAAAACGTTTTTATTTAAAAATCTGAAAATATGATAAAAATCTTAAAGCTAGCATATATTTTTTGAACGAAATAAAATAATTTTAACTAAATAAAACTACAAAAAGGAATCAATACTCATATTAAAATTAAAAAGTTAAATATTTTAAGTTAATGTCTCCTTTTTGCTGCTAAGGTTAATATG